TTTATTAAGTAAGGACTTGTGTCGCTAAACTTTCGTCGGAACGAAGTTACGGAAAATCAATTAACAAAGGGAGACGTAACAAGTGCTTTAAAGTTCGGCTCAACAGAAGAGAGATATAGTCTTAAACGTTGGGAAACGCTGGCCTGGAAGATCAAATCACACGTGACATCTGCATGTATAAACCCTTTGTCGTTATTTGTTGTGGCTCCAAACTTAATTTGGCAGTTAGACATAGGAAACTTTTATCCACATGTCATACTATAAATGTATATATACAACTGAGTGAGAAAGAATCACACTCTTCGAAAAACACTTTGAAAACACTGTCATTTTGTAAAAACAAAAAGTAGTCACAAAATTCTCGTGTATTCTGCAAGTATGTACCCGAAACTTATCATGAAACGAAGGAGCTAACTTTCTAGTTCCTTTCCGTAGCATATCACGGGTATAAAACTTTACAATGGTTATGAAGTCATTGGTGTAATTTATGACAATGAGCCACGGTAAAACTGTTACAATACATTATATTAACTTCTAGATTCCTTGGAGCATTGTACGGTCCAAAATGGCATATTAATAAAGGGCCAGAGGCTCCTACCTGCTTTAAATATTATCTTCTTTGTTTTTTATACATTTATATAATCGCTCTTAACAGGGCCGTACTTAAGAAACGTTAGGCCAGTCAGGCCATGGCCTGACCACTTATTCATGGCATGTATAGCTACAACTTATGTATTAAAACTTGCTTCTTTTAATTCAATACATTACGCTGCGTGTATAAAGCATTTATTGTTAAAATGGGTCAAGATTCAATCTCATAGCATTAAATTTTCAAACATTTTCTAGGGGAGCATGCCCGCAGACCACCCTAGAAATGACAATGTGGCAATAGCCTGACCATTCAAAAATTGCTTCCTACGGCAATACTTAAAATGATTGAAAAATAAATAAATCCAAACAAAATTTCAGAAATAGGATCAATATTTCGTTAAGAAGTGAAGGGAAATTTTATTATCATTATTGCAGTAGTTGACAAGGAAACAATTAGATCCATTTAATTTCTTTTTTTTGAACCGCTATTATAGTGGCTGATGATGCCTATGACTAACACTCGTCTCTATCAGACATTATCTCATAGCTTTGATGTTATTGTTTTGTTTTTGTTTTACATATTTGAGGGCACCGCTTCGCAATCTTTATCTTTCGTAATGTGAAACGTTTAATTTTTTATCTACACAGTATTCGCAAAATAAGTTAAAGAATAATTAAACGTAGGGCAACCAAAATTTTCGCAAATGGTAACTAAATCAGTACAATTAAATTATTGTTTTTGTACATCTAGGATTCAATTAAAATTTTCAAAATCTCTCCACAGAAGAATTTGCTATTTTTTTTTATCACGCTGTTAAGGGTCGTATGTGTTTTCTGGTGAGAGGTAGGAGTAAAACATGTGTCTACACCTCTATATAGCAAATCCTAGTTCATTATTCGATGGGCCCGGCATGGCCAGGTGGTTAGGGCGCTCGACTCGCAATCTGAGGTTCGCCCTTTCAGCCGTGGGGGTGTTATAATGTGACCATTAATCACACTATTCGTTGGTAAAAGAGTAGCCCAAGAGTTGGCGGTGGGTGATGATGACTAGCTGCCTTCCCTCTAGTCTTTCATTGCTAAAGTAGAGACGGCTAGCGCAGATAGCCCTCGTGTAGCTTTGTGCGAAATTCAAAACAAACAAACAAACAAACATTCTTCGATCTTTCTTAATAGCATTTTAACTTATTATTTCTTATAGTTAACAAATGTAAAAGCATTTTGATAAAATAGTTTAAATCACTATTTTCTATTAACTTTTGAGATAGAAAAGAAATCACAAACAAATAAGAACATATTTCTTAACTGTAAACTGGGGGTTAAATTAGTTACAGAAATTACTATATTTACACTTTTTCAGGTTCTTTGAAGTTTTGTGTTTCATAGTATATAACTTTGGTGGAAAGTTTTTATGCGATAAAACAACAACAACAAAAAAATGACATACATAGCAAATAGTAACGGAAGGGTGTTAACAGTATTGTCTGCGAAGAGATTATGTAGCTAATGGAGGTCAAAGACTTTAATTATCAGTATTAAGTGCTGAGCTATTCGTTAAAAGTTCATGTTAGCAATTCGCAATAACAGCTTTATTCTAAATATATCTTTCTATATTTTCTTGTTACTAAAGTTCAAATACATAAAGCCAAGACACACCTGCCATCTACAGAAACAAACAGTTATTACTAAACATTCTCGAGAACCGAATGTCGTATATTTTGTAAATCAGATGTTACTAATAATTATACTTGGCCTACAAATCCAAAGTGCTACAGCCTACAGTATTCATTGATAAAATTGTTCATTAATAATACTTAAAACCATTAAAACTTCTTGTAATATCATAATCTATAACATGCACCTTCAGGAATTAGCATAAATTTATAATACACCGATATGTATTTAAATTAAATCACTTATTATGATGTTCTGTTATAACAAGAGCTAAACAAACGTACACTAACTATTGGTGATATCATGTGATAAAAATTACAGAAAACATGAAAAGACCTACGAACCGACGTCATTGCATTTCGTTCGTACAGGTTTCCCTTTTTAATAATAGCACCCCCATGTGTCGCAGTCGTTGTGCGAGAAACAACTTTTCGGTTATGGGAAGTACCCACCACAAGAAACTTTCAATACACATTTGTAGGCCAGCATGATAGTATACAATATGGATCACAATAAACGTTTGGAACGTCCAAGATTTATGCTTATCATACGGCTACTAATAACAGCCGATACATACCTTAAGCCACGACGGCCTCGTGCTGCCGTTAATCAATACACGATATATGTGTTCGGAAATTGCTGTGCGCGCGCTGCTGCAGTCTTTGCGCGCGGAAGACGTAAAGCCCTGTGTATGTAAGGATATACGTGATTATGTCAGCATAACTGCTGTATCTTGCGTATAGATGCACACTTTTCATACATGATTTTTTTTCTACAATCCCACTGTAGCCCAGTAAATTCATTCAAAGTGGATGCTTGATCCAGAATAAATTGCGACAGAATTGATTTTAATTGTATAATGCTTGAGAAGACCCATATACTAATATATACAAAGTCCTCAAAAGTCTAAAAATGGGAAATTAATTTAAAATGACATTAATTAATTTACGCTCGTTTTTCATGTTTGCACTGATTACTGGACAACTATGATAGATACGTGGTTATATGATACAACATTTGAAAGCTGACTACACACTCTTTTATTTGATATATATATATATACACACATATGAAGATACGAGCAAACGTTAAAACACTAGTCGAACTTAAATAAATATTGTTGCGTCAGCGAGGTCACGTGACTAGTATCACGCCACCTCCTTTCTAGAAATATCCTGTTCCTTCAAGAATGCCCTAGCATTTACTAGATATGTGTTAGTCTTGTATATATAAGACGTTC